ATGTTCAATTGCATTACTTTGTGTTTTTATCTGTTGGGCGTAGAAAGATATGTTTATGTTTAGTTTCGGTTGTGAATTAAAGGCCTTATCGGCATCCGAATCAGAAATTGACTTGATTTATGTGCTAATTAGGATTTTTAGAATTTTATGGTAGGTTCAATTGAAAATCGATTCGGAACGAATAAATTAGAATAATTAGTGCCAATGTGATTAACTTAAGTCAATTTAATCAAGCCAATTTAAATAAGCCTATATAAGGCCACTTTAACTTCTTCAGTTGAGGATTACACTTTCTTTTCTTTCATTTGATGTTCAAAAATGTGGGAGAGAAGGAGTGAGAGAGGAAAATTGAGATCAAAGTTGAATTAGAGGAGAATTGTTTGAAATTGTGGACATTGAAGAAGATTTGGAAGTTTCAACTTCAACACTTGTGAATTCAAGACTTAAGGTAGGAATCCACCCTCTTAATTGTGTAATTGAGTTAATTCATCTATGAATTCAAGTGAACTGAGCTATGAGATGTAAGAACCAAGCTTAAGAAATAAATAAGAAGATCGATTCATGCATACATGTACATTTCAATGCATTGAGAGCATGTTACTAGGGGATTCCCTCATGCATGTTTGAAATTCATCTTAATTTAGGGAAATCATCAAGTTTCAAGTTTTTTTATAGCATTTGATCATGTTTTGAGAAGCTCAAGATCAAGAGAATTCATGCATGTCATGTTCATGAAACATTCAAAAAGATTAAGTTGAAATTGTGTACAATTGGTATGCTTTTGGGCCATGATTTCTTGGAATGATCCTTTAAACATGTTGTTTTATGAGTTTCCAAGTGTTTTCCAAAATTTTGGCCCAAGAAGATGAGTTTTGAAGTGTTTGGCTTGCGTTTGAAGGTTGGAGATCAAATCTGGATATTCCAGATTTTTGCATTCACGCTCTAGCGTAGAAGTTCACGCTCGAGCGAGCACTCTGAGTGTGTGCACTTCTTCTCGAACGACCATAAGCTAACTCGAGCGTGAAATGCATGTATCCAGAAGTTCATTTGTTTTGCAGCACACTTGAGCGACGTAAGTCACACTCGAACGAGGGTCTGAGTCTCACGCTCGAGCGGGGATCGAGCGTTCGTCGAGTGTGAAAAACAAGTAACCAACACTTTTTCAAAGTTTACAGTCCGCTCGAGCAAGGGAAGTCACGCTCGAGCGAACCTTCATTTCTTGCAAGTCCGCTCGAGTGTGGACTCTATTTTCAGCAAAATTTGAAAGATGTTTTCAAGTGCATTCTAGCATCCTCATTCCATCCTAGGCACTCCTAGGCCATGTTTAAGACCCCATATGAGGTTAAAGGCTAGAAACACACTAAGAATAAATGAAATAAGTGATGTACAATTTGAGCGTATGTATTCAATGAATGAATCTACCATGTTATGTAGGTCATGAACCTCAGGATACGTGAATTGCCCACTTTGCCGTCTATTCGGAGCTGCCAGTTATTTGTGAGTAATAACTTTGTAAAGTTACATTCAATATTAAATATTTTTTGAACATTATGACATGAAACGATTAGTCTTCTGAAATGCTACGCTATGTTTTGAATGATTGAATGATTGTCCAAGATTCTGAAAGTTATTCGTGGCATCCTTAGCATCATACGATATGCGTCCCTTTATGGGTCATCAGGTCCTTTTATGGGTCATCAGGTCCCTTTATGGGTCATCAGGCCCCTTATGGGTCATCGGAAACGTCTCTGTGCGTAAGAGTTATCAGAAAGCCTTCATGGCAGTTCCTTGTGGGTCATCAGATTTGTTAATGCTAACGGATACGCCACGTATTATTTATATGACGTATGTCTAAGTTTTGGATGCAAATGTAACTATGCCTATGAATTTACTCTGTTATGACATCCAGTTATGTACAAGACTTTGTTCCTATATGGACATCATTCAGTAAAACTTTTACTCTGTTATTATTCACTGGGCTTTCGCTCACTATTTATATTATGTATGTAGGTGAGCAGGCTTGTGACCAGGCCCAAGGATGACGGCCTATGTTTCAGTTTTTGTCAGCCAACCTTTGTGCCTCCCGAGGAGGTTCCGAATGAAGTCAAGTTTTGTGGTTATTTTTGTAATCATATTAGACTATGTTTATACTATGTTGTATTTGGACAAGATTTCTGATAACATGTAGATGGAGTGTTGTGTAAATATTGTATCTTTTGTTGCCACTCACAAGTCTATAAAAGGTTTTAGGTTAAATATCCCATGTATGTCTTCACAGCTCAATGGACTTCGTATATGTTGTATATTTGCTTCCGCAACCACTACTATATGTTATTATGTCAAGAGGCCTTTGGTAATTCAAGGATTACTGGCCGGTTACGATACTAAACCCACAGGGGCGGGTTCAGGTCGTGACCCCTAGACTCTTCAATCTATTGTATCCTAGCAAGTTCTTGAACAATTCCTCTAGTTTCCTTCAATTGTTAAGAAATTCCTCTCCTCCTAGTTTTGGATTCAAGCTCCCTCACTCTAACTCTCTCTCTCTCTCTTTCTCACGATTTTTAGCTCATAAAAGATGATAAGAGTGTAATGTAACGTGTGCTCTAAAGTTAAGGGCCTTATATAGGCTAATTAAGAAATTTAGTTAATAACTAGTTAATTGACATTATTTAAACTAATTATTTCATTCTGAATCGAATTGTAATTGAACCTACCATAAATTCCTAAAAATTCCAAATAACTCATATATCAAATCAATTTCATGATCAAATGCTGATAATGCCTTCAATTCACAGAATAAGATGGAAACACAACCAAATCTTCTTACGAGATACAGATAAAAACACAAATAATGTAACACACATGCAATTAATCTAGAATTTCATCTTAATAACTTATTAGGCATAATTAATCAGGGTTAATCAGCTAATCACAGGTCAGGGTTGTTACGTCTTGCCTATTGGACGCTCCATCTATGAAGAGCTTCCACATCTCTCCTACGAACAGCTTCCAACAAGTGGAAGGATCTGATGACGCCTTAGGATCAAGGACGTTGACAACTCTTTCTTCTAACTTTTTGTCCGTTGTTACAATTTGATCCTTACTGCTTGACTGTTTTAGCATTCCACTCTTAGGCGTTTCCTTAGTGGATGACGCAGCCACTGTAGGGCTAAGTGTTTTGCTACTTACTTGAGCGACTTGTCGCGGGGGCAGCGCTATTCCCATGGCTCTTTCTCCCCTTTGCTCGGTTGTTTCAGTCAAGTCCACTGGGAACACATAATGATTACCCGACGCAAACTCTGCCGCAAAGTTTGCCAATGCTTGAGCTTTTATCGCGGTTTGTGGTCGGAACTTGATGTCGAACTGTCCCAACTCCACAGCCCACTTCAATATCTGCCCTGAAAAGTCTGGCTTTTTAAATATGGTTTTTAAGGGGAATGCTGTTAAGATGACCACTGTGTGGGCGTGGAAGTAGTGTGCGAGTTTTCTTAAGGACATCATTAAAGCTACGGCCATCTTTTCTAACGGCAAGTACCTCGTTTCGATACCCAGTAATGTCTTGCTCACATAAAAGATGGGCAAGTGCTGTATTTCCTTGGCGTGCACCAATATTGCGATAACAGCGTGCTGGGACACTGCTAAGTAAAGGAAAAGTTCTTCTCTTGGCACTGGGGTTGCCAGCAATGATGGAGAGGTCGTGTATTCTTTTAAGCTCTCCAGGGCTCTATCATACTCATCACCCCACTCAAACTTGGCCTTAAGTGCTTGGAAGAATGGTCGACACATGTCTGACGACTGATTTATAAATCAGTTTAGTGTTGCAGCTAGGCCTGTGAGATGCTATAATTCTTTGATTATGTTGGGCCTCTCTAGATCCTGAATGGCTTTGATCTGAGAAGGATCAGCTTTTATACCCCGGTTGGTCACTAAAAAGCCAAGAAATTTTCCTGACCGCAAGGCAAACGCGCACTTGGATACGTTCAGTTGCAATTTGTGAGTATTCAAAATTTGAAACATCTTAGCTAGGTTTTTGAGATGATCTCCTTCATTCTTGCTCTTGACCACCATGTCGTCTATGTAAGCTTCCATTGTTCTACCTAACAATAGCTCGAATTCGCTGGAATATTGCCCCTGCATTTTTTAGGCCAAAGGGCATGACCTTGTAACAATATAATTCCCTGGGTGTTGTAAACGATGTGACCTCCTGGTTCAGTTCATGCATCGCGATCTGATGGTAATTGTGATACGCATCGAGAAAGCTAAGTCGGTTGTGACATGTAGTTAGGTCTACCAGCTAGTCTATCCATGGTAAAGGAAAATTGTCTTTTAGGCACGCTTGTTGATTGTCTTGTAGTCCACGCAAATGCGCCACTTGTCGTTCTTCTTTGGCACTACCAAGGTGTTAGAGATCCACTTGGGATAGTGAACCTCTCTGATTGCCCCTGCCTTCAGCAGGTTTCCCACTTCCTCAGCCACTATCTCTTCGTGGTGAAGTGCTAATCGGCGAGTTCACTGTATAATTGTTCTGGCGGTTTGGTGGACATTAAGTTGATGGCAGATGAAGTTTGGATTAATGCTAGACATGTCATATGGCATCCAGGAAAACACTTCAATGTTAGAGATCAAGAACTCCATGATCTCTATTCTCTCGGTGCTGAATAGAGACGAGCCAAGCAAAAAGAACTTCTCTGGGTTTCTTGTCTATCTTTACCTCCACCAGATCTTTCACTTCCTTCTGTTCTGCTGCCTTGCCAACATTTGCGAACAACTCGTTGCTTTCTGGCTCCTCTACCAATTGTACGAAACCTTTGGCAGCTCAATTATTGTTCACTATCACGAAGCATTGCTTGGATATGATTTGGTCTCCCAAGGTTTTCCTCTTGAACATACATGGTCAAAAGTTGATTGATAGACCATTTTTCCCTCTGTGTGTTGTAAGAAATTTGGAATGTTCCATATTCTACAGGAAGAGAATTGAGTATGAAATTGATAAGGAAAGACTAAGAAATCTCAATCTCTAAGGACTTAAGACGAGCTGCAATGTCCCTCATTTCCATAATGTGGTTGCGCACACTCCTAGAATCGTTATGCTTCATTCCTGATAGTTTGTTCATTAGGTTGCTTGTCAATGCTTTGTCAGAACTAACAAATTGCTCTTCAATAGCCCTCATGTAGTTCTTGACCTTATCAGATGGTGGGATTGAACCCCTAATGCTCTGGCTGATATGTGACTTTATGAGCATTAGGCTTAAGCGATCAGATTGCTCCCACTTATCATAAGCACTCTTTTCTGTAGTGGAACTATCGTCCATGGGTTTAGGAGGTTCATCCACTCGGAGTGCCAGACCGAGGTCCATGCACCCTAATGTCAGAAGGATTTTGTCCTTCCAGTTTGAAAAATTATCACCGTTTAAGAATGGAATACGAGAAGACTCATTAGACAATACGGAGGTAGAAATCATTGCAATTACCAAGAACATTATTAATCCTTTGAAACAATAACTATAGTCTGAATCAACCAATGTCAAATTCAGTAACAAATCTAAACCTTCCTGTGGATTGACGTAACTAAACTTTATTAGATTTGCTATTATTTTATAATAAGACTAATGGATTCCAAAATATTCAAGGAAATGAAAACTCATACCTGTGGGTATAGAGCGTTCATTCCCTTTAATACCCAATCCATTATCTTATTCCAATTAAATTTTATAAATAACTACTTTCCTGTGTGACTAAGAAATTATTTATAAAACATAGTTGCAAAAATGCCAAATTAATTTTTTTTTTTTTTTTTATACTTTATGTGATCATAATACTGAGGATCACTGGATCTTTATATTTTAAGATGTTGTGGCTAATCTTAAAACAGAATATAATCTTTTAAATTATGGCATAATTTATTAATGTGAGCAAATCTATATAGTCACAACAAGTATATAATCTTTTAATGCATATAATATATAATACATGTAATCAGAGTAATATCACATGAAAAATCCCAAGACCAAACACATGTAATTCAACCTTACACTAGATTTTGTTTAAAAATTGGATCAAAATAAAATCCATAAGTCCAACACACAGTATATATATGCTCTTATTTCCCATAAATTTTCATGGAATAAATAATCTTGATACATGTAGTGTGATATTACACTATACTAGAGAGCATGCCAATTATTACGAAAATTTATAAGGCTTTTAAAGAATATATTAAAATAGTTCACTATATGACATTCAAATGAATTTACTTACTATTTAAGCATGCAACTATAATAAACAAAATATCCTTAATATCATATCCTTTACAAAAATCTAGAAATAAATTTGGTCTTTTATGCCTTTTAAAATTAACTGAAGAAATCCAAATACAAGCCTGAGAATTTCTAGATTTTATACAAAATGGTCTTCAATGTATGTCAATTAATGAAAACTCATAATTAATGACATACAGTAGGTTTCCAAAACATAGCAAATTTAGAATAGAAACACTTCTAAATTAATATAAACACTAATATTGTAGAACAAGATAAATTCTATTATTACCTCTAATTAATATACATCACGCAACAATTTATCACTAATATTGAGAAAATTAATTAGCATGACTTAGAAATTTTTTTATTTATTAAACAAGATAAACCAAATAGTAAACGTTTATATTGATTTCAAAGGTTAATCCTTAAATAGTACAAAATATACAAGAGAAACTACAAATCTTGTATAATAGTGGCTGCTGTAAAAGCCTGAAATCCACCATTAAGTGGTAGAATATCAAACCTATATATATAACTTATTATAATGGTCTATAGGTTATAGATTCTCTTCACAAGGAAAAAAACAAAACAATGGTCTAAGAGTCACGGTGGTATGACAGACTGGATGATTATGCGAAAGCATTAAAAGGCATAGAAAACAATAATATATTAAAATCAATTGAACGAATGCATAAAATTACAAATATCTATACCATAACGAAATAGAGGTTTAGGAGAATATAATAGAATATATAATAAATAATATATAGATAGGCTTGGATCCATAACTAAGTATAACTCTTTATAACTTCCCACCATCATGAAAGTTGAAACCATCATATGAGATAGCGGACATACATTAGATACCCATTACTTATTAAACTGATTAAATATTTATAATATAAATAAATAAAACAAACACTGATCATAACCTCAAATTGGTGCCTTTAAATGCAGATAAGAACACTACAAAGTCACAAATGGCAACAAATCATGAGTTCGGATCCTCTCCTTGAGGCTCCTCCTTCAAATCCTCCATGCAACGGTTAAGATCTAGCCAACCAAATTCAACGGCTATAAAAAAAATAAATAAAAAAAATTGAAAATTGAAAAGTAAAATTTCCCGCGCAAAGCTACACAACCTTACACACACTCCTGAGCCTCACACATACTCTCTCATCTCGCTCTCTCTCCTCCATGGCATTACCCTTACTTCTTTTCCTCTCTTTCATCTCTCTCTCCCCTCACACTCTGCCACTCCCAACAACACCTCTCCCTCAACTACTACCAAAACTCATGCCCTAGATTCAACCAGATCATGCAAGACACCATCACTAACAAGCAGATCACCTCCCCCACCCGGCGTCGTCTCTTGCGCCGACATTCTCACCGTTGCTGCTTGCGATCTCCTCACCATGATGGGTGGTCCTTACTACAATGTCCTATTAGGCCGCAGAGATGGGCTTGTCTCCAAATCAACCTTGAAGGTAATCTTCCCAGAACCACAATGTCTATGACTCAGATCATCAACATTTTTTCATCTATAAGGTTCTCGATCGAAGAAATGGTGGCTTTGAGTGGTGCTCACACAATTGGGTTCTCTCACTGTAAGGAGTTCAGCACAAACATCTACAACTACACCATGAATCCAAGTTCAATGTCTGATTCGAGTTACAACCCTCGATTTGCTGATTGGTTGAGACAAGCTTGTGCTGATTATCATCAAAACCTCACATTGTCGGTGTTCAACGATATCATGACTCCAAACAAGTCTAACAACATGTATTATCAGAACTTGCCTAGGGGATTGGGGTTTTTGTCTTTGTAAACCAATTGAACATTGTATTTGATTAATTGGTTGGATGCCTCTTTATGTGTAATGTTCTTCCTTTTTTATTTCATATACATCCCTTGTATATATACACATACATTCAAGATTGATAAATGAACTGTGAATTTTTTTTTCCCATTGTGGTGTCAATGTATATATCTTTATACATGTGCCCACTTTGGCTAATAATTTTGATCTTTACATTTTCTCTTCCATTAATATCTATCAGTATGTATGCACCAAGGCAAAAAATTCAACAAGAAGTTTATTATTTTTCAAGGCCAAATTCTACTCTCCTTGTCTTTTGAATTCTCCTGGAGAATTTGGACTTCTTTAGAATGCTTTTACCAATGACTGTGATGGTAAAGTGGCCCTAGAATTTGTGTTATTTCCCATTCTAAAATCTGCCCAAGTGTAAAAAAAATTGTGGCAAGTCACTCTACTTTGTGGAGCTGTCACGCCCCCTGTCCCGCCCCTAAAAGTTTGGGCATGACCCATTCGAAAACAGACACTAATCCTGTTATACATATCATACGGGGCCTGAACGGAAGCATTCAATAATATAAAATACATAGAATAACATCCATCGAGCTATTCCTAACATGCCAGGATCTCAACTTCACACTAAGTAAATATTATACAGAAAGCTTACACATATATGCCTTGACTCAATCCCACGAATAGGCGTATAAAAAAAATATTAATGAAGAAGGAATTATATACAATCAATCATAAATAGACGTTCAAAGCATAAATCAAAACTCAGCAACTATACATAATGCACGGCTTCAGGTGGTGCCTGGACGCATCAAAGTTGACAAGAGAAACACAAGCCTTAAGGTTAGAACTGAACTCCCGGTTGGTTACCTATAGAAATAGACAGACAAAATACAGAATGAGCGAACTCAGTGAATAACAGTACATAAATAATGTAATATTTAACCTGAATAATCAAACATATATCTGCAGATGCATGTGATTAACTACATTCCGTAATTATTCCCAAAAGCCATGGGTCCAACTTCCGTAACAGAATGGCTTTAAGCCCAGTATATACAGAACTGCCTTAAGCCTACAGATGCAGAACGACCATGGGTCCAGAAATATCAGAAATAACAGAACCGACAGAAATAACAGAAATAACAGAAATAACAGAGCTAACAAAAATAACAGAAATAACAGAATGCATAAGCGTGGGGTAACAGAACGCATAAAGCGCAGTGACAGAACGCATAAAGCATGGGTAACAGAACGCATAAGCGTGGTAACAGAACGCATAAAGTGTGGGTAACAGAACGCATAAAGCATGGGTAACAGAACGCATAAGCGTGGCAACAGAACGCATTAAGCGTGGTAACAAAACGCATTAAGCGTGGTAACAGAACGCATAAAGCGTGGGTAACAGAACGCATAAGCGTGGTAACAGAACGCATTAAGCGTGGTAACAGAACGCATAAAGCATGGGTAATAGAACGCATAAGCGTGGTAACAGAATGCATGAGGCGTGGGTAACAGAACGCATTAAGCGTGGTAACAGAAATAACAGATGTACTTGTTCCATACCTGAAAACATCAGAACAGATTAATACAGGTAAGCGTATTCTTCCCATTATTCGCATAAATAAGCATAGATACATAAGCTTAACAGAACGTTGCCGATAACAGAATGGAAACATTAATTATCATTAGAAAACGAAACATATGGTACAATGTTTCCTCATGGTTCTTTGTACATAGACATACTTGTTTCGTAATTAACAGAACCTGAACATTACCCACAATCCGAAGGTAAATCAGACCAATTCATAAACCAACTTCAGAGTGTTAATAGTTGTATGCAATTCTTATACAGAAGTATAAGTTACTCTTAGGATGGTACATTAACAATAATCATTAGCCATAACCCAAAATACAAAGTAGGTTCGGAATCATACCGGTGTGTAATCACTCTTTTAATGTTCACATCAATTCTCAATCAACACACATGTTAACATATTAGCTCACAGAGGATAAAATGTCAATGACAATAATGATTAACGGTAAATAACATATGTTTGAGGTACTATTACTCACAGTGTTCAGATGCTTGGTCCACCCCTGTAGCTGACCCTACACAATTCATCATAGTACAACACCATTCAATTTCCAATATTATTCAATACCACATTATCCAACAAAGTTAGCATCACTTGGTTCATCAATACCATTTGCAACTTCACATAATTCACAATAAATCCTTGAATCCTATTTCAACATTCTAAAACCAAGTCCATATCATCTATATCCTTAATAGATTATTTCCCTAATTTTTCCTTTACATGATAGCATGAATTCCAACATTTATAACAAGGTTCATTCGCAAAGTCTAAACATAATTTCCAAACATTCCCAAATTCCAATTCAACTTGAACACACATAATTCAATACTTCAACTTCATTACTCCACTTTCAACTAGAGCCAATTCATTGATTATCATCATTAATCAACCTAGGGTTTCCAAGAAAATTGGGGGTTTTCCTCTTTTCTTAGTGAAATCGCCAAATCAACAATTACTATATGCCAATATGCTAAAAACATTCAACATCCTTTGAGAAGTA